GGGGGGGGGTAGCGGTGTGCAACTGCTCTTCTTCTGAATAAATGAAAACTATGTAACACAGTTGTTTGCACTTAAATTAAAAAAAATATTTGACCAAAGAAAAACCAGAGCAGAACCAGAGGGAGATAAATATGATTTAGATTTTTATTTCTGTGACTGTACGACCCACGGGAGACACATTATTAACAGCAGTCGTCATTTCATTCGCGACTTTAGCAGGTCTGACACTGCTAAAAATTACGTTTTTTTTCTGGATCTCTGAGAGCAGAACTTCAATCTCCGAACTCATAAAGTTCTTCTTTTTTACTTTGTGATGTCATTTATGAACGGACACTTCCTGGTATGTGGGGCAGGAACTATAGATTAATATGGTATTTTTGGGGTGGTAATTATGCTAATCTCCTCTCCTCGTGCACGAGCACCTGATACGCATTCATCAGTTTACGCTGGTCATTTACACACTTGTCCTGAAGATAGAAGAGTTTGTTGAATCTGACGTGGCATGTTCGTACGAACCCTTCGTACGAATAAAAGTAAGAGAAATTTAGGAGAAGAATACGAACATTTTAACCGTTTAATCAACTCTCCAGTCACTAACCTCTTTCTCTCAATTTCAGTTCCTCCTGAATGTCTGGATAATCAGACTGTAACTTCCACCAGATACAGGTTTTGAATAACCTCTTAACACACATTCTGTGTTTGGATGAATTTTTGAAACCCCTGTACCAGACATTACAATCCATCTACCCGTCTATCTGTCTATAAAACTGGTTCAAGTTTCCTGTTCAGGAAGTTTGCATACATGAATAATTGTTTAGTGTCACTCATGACTAAACCCACAGCAATTTGTTTAACTTCCGCCTGCTTAACCACAACTTTTACTTCAGCCTACTTTTAAAGCTCTGACCTTTTCTAAGTACTGTTCATTACTAATAGTAGGAGGTTTTACAGACTGTTTATGGTGCTTCACGACCACAGTTTTCTTTAATCAATTATACATATTCTTGCGGCATGATGGCTCAGTGGTTAGCACTGACGCCTCACAGCGAGAAGCTCCTGGGTTAAATCCCTGAGTCGGACATGGGGTCTTTCTGTGTGGAGTTTGCAGGTTCTCCTTGTGCTTGTTGGGTTTTCTCCTACACCCCAAAAATATGTACAACAGGTTGCCGCTGGGCCCGTGCAGGCCGCTCTTGCAAAAGAGATCAGCGATCTCAATGGGATTTGACTGGTTAAATAACAGTAAAATAAATAATTGTATTCAACCCGCTTTGCAGAGGTGGGCTGTATCTAGTTATTTACTCAGTTACATTTACTTCAGCAACTTTTTAGAAAAAAAAGTACTATTAGGAGTAGGTTTTAGTACACCACACTGTACTTTTTACTTTACTTGAGTTATATTATTAGGAAGTATTACTCTTGAACAAAATATTGGAATACTCGACCCACTGTTAGTAACGTCACTGAATGAAGAACATATATGTGTGAGTCTGTGTGTGAGTCTGTGTGTAAGTATACATTTCATAATTGGGAAAATTAGACTTGGAAAAGTGTTTCTTTTGCTGGAATTTGTTGTTTGTAATTATTTTATGTGTATTTTCTTCACTTTATCCTTAAGCAGTAGAATTTGCAGATAACTTTCCATTTGTTGTCAGTTTGATGATGACATTTTAGAATATTTCATGATGTTATGATCAGTTTATTCAGTATTCAAGTAGCCTTGTTACAAAATATTTATTTACCCTTACTTGAGTTATTTCTTGGATGGCTAATTTTAACTTTTACTTGAGTACAAATATGTTCAAGCAGTGCCAGTCTTGAGTAGAACCTTTGAGTGCTCTACCCACCTCTGCTCCTTTGGATGTTTTATGATTTCGTTACTGTCATAAATCAATTTACACCTGTTCCATACTACTATTTCTTGGTGATGAATTTAACAGATCTCTTTGGGATGTTTAGAGTCTTGGAAATTATTTTTTATCCATTTTTTGACTTGCTCTTTTTTAAAATTATCTTTCCTTTGCTCTCAGTTAAAACAGTCATTTAATTATTTTACATTACACATTTTTTTAATCTTGAATTTTTATTAATCTTTTTATTATTCTATTAATTCGACACTGTAGCAGTTTTTTTTTCAAAAAGGTGAATTTACAACACTCAAGGAGGTGAATAATTTGAATAGACGCTGAGTTTATGCTTCTCTGCACCGAAGCAGCATGCAGATAAACAGGAAGAGGAAATATGGCTGTCTTACGTTCTCTCCATGCAGCCTCCATCGGGTCATGTAGATGAACTCCAGAGTGTGATCTCTGCCCATGATCTCTCCATTACAAAGCACGTCTAGCTAGGGAATAGAAAAAAAAGTTGTGTGTGAATGATTTCAATGAAATTGCGTTGAAAATCCATTTAAAATGACAAATAAAGTGGGGAGGAGGGGAAGTTTTCTGTGGTAAAGAGTAGGAGGTTTGCTCTAAAAATACATGTGTGATTGTGTGTGTGTGTGTGTGTGTGTGCTTTCAGCTCAGTCTGAAATATTTCAAAACTTAAATAAATTTGACTCATGGAAACAGTGACATAGTGTACAGAATGTGAATGAAAATCAAAGTTAGCATGTACTGAGCTGACATTATCTTGATGACTATGTACCCTTTTTCTGTTCTAGGGTTTTATGCATTAGAACAGCAGTCCCCAACCCTCGGGCCATGGCACAGTACCGGTCCATGGGTCGTTTGGTACCGGGCCGCACAGAAAGAATAAATAACTTACATTATTTTCCTTGTATTTATTATTTGAGTCTGAACAATGTTTTATTTTATGACCAAATTCTCTATGTTACGGCCATCAACGACTCACTCTTGGTGCGTCAAGACGCTTGTCTCAGTGAAAACAGACGTCTTTGTAAAGTTTCTTTACTAAGGCAAAAGGGAAAAGTCGTTGGCACGTCAGGAAGACACTGCTAATAAGGTTACATACAAGTATAGAGTAAGTGGATTGACGTTTATTATTGTATTTACAAAATATTAGTTCTTGTGTTGGTTATAGGCTATCATTTATTTTTGTTATAAATTTTTTTGTATTCATCCGTCATACCTGCTGGTCGGTGAAAGTATGTTTGACAACAAACCGGTTCATGGCGCAAAAAACGTTGGGGACCACTGCATTAGAAGAAAAAAATATATATCTGGTTTACGCAATGTTGTAAAATGACATACATCTAACCTCAAGTGAACAAAACAACACTGCAGATTCCACCGTTTCTTTATTTACCGATAGTAAACAAAAGTAAAGACAATAAAGGAAAGGCTGTGTATGAACAAGTCCATCCTTGCTGTTCAAATGTAGTGATCCTCAGCGTGACCACCTGTGTAAAAGTAGGAGTTTTTTTCAGTTTCTGCTCTGAAATAGGGTTGGGCAATATTGGCAAAAAAATTAATCACGATTAATTGTGGTGTTTAGCCGATAACGATTAATTTGACGATTAATCCCCTGGTGTACCTGGACATACTTATTTCGTAGTCACATGACCAATTTAGTGGGAAAGATTTGATCTTTGTAAAAAATTGTTCCAAATTGTGTGAAAATTACAGATTTCAGGCTATACATCATATTTTAAATTGTGTTGATGGATAAATAAATTACAGGACTTTATTTTTAATGTACATCATATTTGAAGGGGGGAGGAGCGCTGAGTGGACTGACCGGAGTAATCTCCAGTCAGTCTGCCTGGTGGCATTAATCATATTAATCATCAAGTACCAAAAAGTAATCGATTGTTTTTCTGACGATTAATTGCACACGATACGATTATGCCCAACCCTACTCTGAAGTATACAGGTATGTGTTGGCACAACGCCAGAGAAGCAACTATTTGCTGCCCATCAACATGCAAAGGGTTTTAATTCATTTCTAAACAATTTGGTATTCATTACATGAAGAATACCTTTAAGACATACAGTACACCAGTCTTCCCAGGAGTGAATGTTCCAGCAATTTTACACCAAGCTCAGACCTTTAAACCCGTACTACCAGCTGTTAAGCATGGTGGTCATAGGCTGAAGATCTGGGCTTGTTTTGCAGTAACATGACCTGGGTACCTTGCAGTAGGGTTGGGTAATATTGACATAACATTTATACAATTAATTGTAGCATTTGGCCAATAATGATTAATATGAAGATTAACCCTCTAAGGTCAATGCCCACTCCAGAGCAGGCATTGACATGACACATTTAAGGGCTACTGCAACAAAAATGGCAGCATGCTGGGTGCTCATTTTAACTGGGTTAGACAGCACAGACATCAAACTCTATAAAAGTAGTGTTTTTATATTGTTTTTTTATTTACTTCCAAATAAAACCAGTTGTATGATAAATCATTTTCATCATAATTTTGTGAGCATTTTTTCATGCATTTGCTGCACATCCAGTAAAATTTTGTGACCAGAAAGTGCTTGAAAGCAACATGACACCAATTTTTTTCCAATTTCATGAAATGCACCACTTTTCCACAGTAACCAATAAAAAAAAGTTTGTCGGTAGGCTTGTGGAGAGCGTGAGAGAGTGCTTTGGAGACGGGAGAATGGAGCGTAGTCAACATTTTGGTTTTGCTGAAAATAATCATACCAAACAAGGCAAGGTAAATAATTTTTAAGGTGAAGATATAAGGATAAATTCTTAATGAGCCAAAAAACGGCAATTTAGACCCCAGACCTTAGAGGGCTGCTAAATGACAGTAAGACTTGCTTGTGACCGACATGGCCTTGGTCCACATTTTCTGGCTTTCCTCGTGCTCCAGGTTAGGTTGGTGTTACAAGCCATTAAACAAGTTGGTGGGGTTAGGGTTAGCATTAGCTGCCTTCCTGGGTTTGCATAATACAGTAGCGATGGTGTGTTGCATATACAGTGGGTAAAATAAGTATTGAACACGTCACCATTTTTCTCAGTAAATATATTACTAGAGGTGCTAATGACATGAAATTTTCACCAGATGTTGGAACAACCCAAGTGATATTAATTTGCTCTGACAAGGGGC